CCCCCGGGGGCCCCCGCAGTACCCACGCGCCCCCCAGCAGGGGGCCCCCCACGTACACAGTACCCTCCACGGGGGCCCCCACCAGCCCCAACACGGGGGCCCCCCGAAAGCTCAAACCCAAATTAATTGAAAACTGTCCATTTCTTTTCAAGAACTCTTTTGTCCCATCCAAAGGGTCTATTAGCCACACATACTCCGCCCCCAAACGCCCTTCGGGGGGCCCCCCGGGGGGGCCCCCGGGGGGGCCCCCCTGGGGGCCCCCGGGGGGGGCCCCTGAAGCCTCGGGGGGGCCCCCAGGGCCCCCTGCGGGGGCCTCCGAACCCTCGGGGGGGGCCCCTGGACTCTCAGGGGGGGCCCCTGAAGCCCCAGGGGGGCCCCCTGAACCCTCCAGGGGGGCCCCCAAACCCTCAGGGGGGCCCCCCGTACCCTCCGGGGGGGCCCCCTCTTCAGAGACCAAGACGCAGCCAGGGCAGAGCCGGCGGAGGCCGGAAGTGAGAATCTGCAAATAAAAAGTTGGATTTAATTTTTAATTTATTTATTTTGTATTTAGTTTTGTTATTTCTTTTATTTAATTGTTCAATTATTTAATTTGCTTTTTATTTCTTTTATTTGCTCTTCTAAGACCCTTTCTAAACCCACACAGCCGCAGGGAGCCAGCAGCGAGAGCAGCAGCAGCAGCAGCGAGAGCAGCAGCAGCAGCAGCAGCAGCAGCAGCAGCGAGAGCAGCAGCAGCAGCAGCAGCAGCAGCAGCAGCAAGGCAACGGAGTGCAGCACTGAGCTGCTTTTTGCGCAGCCGCACAAAAGGCAAATAACCAGCAAATAAATAGCAAATAAACAACAAATAAATAATAAAAATAAATAAATAAATAAATAAATAAATAAATAAATAAATAAATAAATAAATAAATAATAATCTTCACCTGATTGGATATCAAGTCCGCCTTGGTGAGCGGCTCCATTTTGTCCTTGTGCGCGACACCCCACAACGCCTCCGGCTGTCTGTACACCTCAAGCACTGCAGCACAGGCCTTTTGCATCAGAATTATTAAATCATTTATTTTTATTTTCTTTTCTTTTCCAACTTCCACCTCGGGCAGCTCGCTGGAGTCACGGGGGCCCCCTGGGGGCCCCCGGGGGCCCCCCGCCGCCGCCTCGCCGCTCAAAACCATCCCCCAAACCCTCAAAAAGCCGCCAAACCCTAAACCCTAAACCCTAAACCCTAAACCCTAAACCCTAAACCCTAAACGCTAAACCCTGGCGGCCAGCGGCGAAGACAAACGCGCGGCGGGGCGCGGCAGCCAGGGGCAGGCAGCAGCAGCAAGAGGGTTATTTGTTTTGATAAAAGAATAAAAAGAAGAAAATAAAATAAATTAAATTAAAAATGAGAAAATAAAAAAGAAAAAACAAAAAGACGCAAAGAACCACTCAGAAGAAGGCTGGCGCTTTCGCCGCAGCCGACGCTGCTGCTGCTGCTGCTGCTGCTGCAGCACCGCAGCAACAGCAGCTTCCTTCCCTTCTTCGCGCGGAATTATCCTTTTAAATCCTTTTATTTATTTATTTATTTATTTATTTATTTATTTATTTATTTATTTTTATTTTTTAAAATCAAAAATGTAACTCAATTCTCCTTGTGAACTCGCTGACTCGCGGTGCTTGCTGGTCACCAGCGCAGCAGCAGCAGCAGCAGCAGCTGCTGCTGCTGCTGCTGCTGGTGTTGTTGCTGCTGCTGCTGCTGCGCTGCTGCGGGGCCAGGTGACACTGCTGTTTGACTCTATGGAAAAGATATCTATCTGGGGCTGCCCGTTGCCCACCCCTGCTTCCCATGCGCAGCAGCAACAGCAGCAGCAGCAGCAGCAGCAGCAGCAGAAGCAGCAGGAGCAGCAGCAGCAGCAACACAACAGCAGCAACAGAAACACTCTCTAGCGGTGGCTGCATGACTGAGACACGAGAAGCTGCTGGATTCTCTCGTAGCGCTTTTGGAAGCGGCTCGTGCTGTGCTGCTGCTTCTGCTGCTGCTCTTGCTGCTGCTTCTGCTGCTGCTCTTGCTGCTGCTTGTGCTGCTGCTTGTGCTGCTGCTCTTGCTGCTGCTTGTGCTGCTGCTTGTGCTGCTGCTCTTGCTGCTGCTTGTGCTGGTGCTTGTGCTGCTGCTCTTGCTGCTGCTTGTGCTGGTGGTTGTGCTGCTGCTCTTGCTGCTGCTTGTGGTGCTGCTCTTGCTGCTGCTTGTGCTGCTGCTTACGCTGCTGGTGCTTGTGTTGCTGTTGCTGCTGCTGCTGCCGCTGCTGCTTCTGCTGCTGCTGTTGCCCTGCTGCAGGGCGGGTGCAGCAAACGTAAGTCTCTCTGTGCCTGCGCCCGAGTAGAGCTGGGGGCCCCTGGCTAAAGCAGCTGCTGCAGCAGAAGCAGCAGCTGCAGCAGAAGCAGCAGCTGCAGCAGCTGCTGCTGCAGAAGCAGCTGCTGCAGCAGAAGCAGCAAAGAGCTGCTGCAGCAGCCACTGCAGCAGCAAATGCACAAGGAGATTCGCCCTTATGCGCTGAACAAATTATTTTTCACTGGCTGTCTTTTCCCCCCTGTAGATGCACTTAAGTTGCAGCAGCAGCAGCAGCAGCAGCAGCTGCTGCTGCTGCTGCTGCAGCAGTTGCTGCTGCAGCCGAAGCTTTTGAAGCACATAAATATGGCTGCACCCTGTGAGACGGGCGAAAGTTCACTGCAGAGAAGCAGCAGCAGCAGCAGCAACAGCAGCACGAAACTGCACTGCAGAGAATCATCAGCAGCAGCAACAGCAGCAGCAGCAGCAGCAACAGCAGCACGAAATTGCACTGCAGAGAATCATCAGCAGCAGCAACAGCAGCAGCAGCAGCAACAGGAGCACGAAATTGCACTGCAGAGAATCATCAGCAGCAGCAACAGCAGCAGAAGCAGCAGCAGGAGCACGAAATTGTACTGCAGAGAATCATCAGCAGCAGCAACAGCAGCAGCAGCAGCAGCAGCAACAGGAGCACGAAATTGCACTGCAGAGAATCATCAGCAGCAGCAACAGCAGCAGCAGCAGCAGCAGCAGCAGCACGAAATTGCACTGCAGAGAATCATCAGCAGCAGCAACAGCAGCAGCAACAGCAGCACGAAATTGCACTGCAGAGAATCATCAGCAGCAGCAACAGCAGCAGCAGCAGCAGCAGCAGCAGCAGCAGCAGCAGCAGCACCACGTAGTCGTTCTACGACTAACAAATGCCCCAATAGACAGCACAAAGCTGGAAAGTGCAAAAGAGAAATAAAGAAATAAATAAATAAATAAATGGACAAATAAATAAAAAAATAAATTAAATAAATAAATAAATAAATAAATAAAATAAATAAATAAATAAATAAAATAAATAAATAAATAAATAAATAAATAAATAAATAAATAAATAATAAATCAATTAAATATTCACAGAGAGGCTGGCTGCAGCAGCTCCTCTCCTGCTGCTGTGTTGCTGCCGCTCCACAGGGGTTTGCTAAACCCTAAACCCTAAACCCTAAACTCTAAACCCTAAACCCTCGCCGCTGCAGACAGGCCGCCCAGCCTGAAACCCTAAATTAGGGTTTGGGGTTTGGGAGGCGCGCAAGAGCCTCCCCGCAGCTGCCTGGCTCGTCTTGCCTGTGCTTTCTGCACACCTAATGAGCTCTACGGTTTAGGGTTTAGGGTTTAGGGTTTAGGGTTCCATATCTGGCAAACCACAGCACAGAAAAGGGCCCCCCAGGGGCCCCCTGGGGGCCCCCGGGGCCCAGGGGGCCCCCCGACCCCCCCGGGGGCCCCCGGGGCCCCAGGGGGCCCCCGGGGCCCCAGGGGGCCCCCGGGGCCCCAGGGGGCCCCCTGGGGGGCCCCTGAGCCCCAGGGGGCCCCAGGGTCTCAGAGATGAGACCCAAAACCCTAGAGGCCCCAGGGGCCCCTGGGGCCCCAGGGGCCCCAAAAGACCCCAAAGACCCCAGGGGCCCCTAGCAGTTCCAGGGGCCCCTGGGGCCCCAGAAACCCCGGGGGCCCCGGGGGCCCCAGGGGCCCCAGGGGCCCCAGGGGCCCCGGGGGCCCCAGGGGCCCCAGGGGCCCCAGGGGCCCCACAAAGTCTCAGGGGCCCCTGGGGGCTGCTGGAGCTGCTGGGAGTGGTGGGGCCCCCAGCAGTCTTTGTTGCAGCACTAAGCAGCTGCTGCTGCAGCAGCAAGGGTCTTGGGCCCAGCTGCAGCACTTGGGGTGGCTTTTGGGGCCCCTAAGAGCCCTTCGGGGCCCCTGGGGCCCCCCAAGAGCTCTTGGGGGCCCCTGGGGGCCCCTGGGGCCCTCCAAGAGCTCTTTGGGGCCTCCGGGGGCCCCTGGGGCCCCTCAAGAGCTCTTGGGGGCCCCCGGGGGCCCCTGGGGGCCCCCAGATCGCCTGTAGAGGCCTATAGGGCTCTGCTGCTGCTGGCAGGGGCAGCAGCAGCAAGTGCTGCTCCGGTGGTTTGCTGCTGCCTTTAAACCCGGAGAGTTGGAGTCCAAAGAAAGGCCCACAAGGGTCAGCCGGCAGCGCCGGCCGTGCAGGGTTTAGGGTTTAGGGTTTAGGGTTTAGGGTTTAGGGTTTGGGGTTTGGCTTGGGCGGGGGAGGCGCGCGGGACTTCGAGCCAGGGGGAGCGAGAGGGCAGACTGGAGGGAAAAGTAAAGCTGAAAGAAAAGTATTTATTGTTGAAGTTAATTAAAGAAAGGTAAAAAGACGAAAAGCTGGAAAGGGGGGGGGTGACCCTGGGGGCCCCCGCAGCAGGGCTGGGGGCCCCCCTGCGCAGCTGGCTGTTTGCGTCTCTGTTGTTTGTGCTGCAGTTGAGTCTCGAACTCTCTTTGTTGGTTTTAAAATATAATTTGAAATTAAATGAACTGCTGAGTTTGTTGCTGCCTGCGTTTGCTGCAGCCCTGCGGCGGCTGCGGTGTATGGACACCTCAGCCCGCGCCTCCCGCGCCGCCACGGGGCTCTTCTTCACTTTTCTTTTTCTTTTCTTTTTCCACTTCTTCTCCCTTTGCATTAATTTGCAAATTTGTTCTTCTCTTGCGCGAAGTGGCGCTCAAGGCCGCCTCCGAGGCCGCTGCAGCCCGCTCCCCCGGCAGCCAGCTCCGCTGCTCTTCCCGCCTTGCTGCTAATTCCCTTTATTTTTGCTTTTATTTCTTCTTTTTTCCAAACTAATTCTCCAATTTAGTCCATTGGGCTCCAAAGCACCGCCACAAAACCCGCAGAGTCCCAGGAAGCCGCGCGCGCGCCCGCCCTTCCGCACTATTCCTGTTCTTGCTGCTGCTGGCCCTGCTGCTGCTGCTGCTGCTGCTGCTGCTGCTGCTGCAGCTGCCCGCGGCTCTCCGCTGCTTCCCCCAGGCGCAGCAGCTCCGCACCTTCCCGGGGCTTTGCTGCAGCTTGCATGCAGCAGAAGGCTGCAGCAGGGGGCAGCCACGCGTTCTGAGAATTGCTGCTGCGTCCCCCTTCTCTGCTGCAGTCCTTGCTGCTGCCGGTGCTGCGGGAGCTGCTGCTGCTGCTGCTGCTGCTGCTGCGCCCGTGCCGCCTTCGGCCCAGGCACGGGGCACTTTGCTGCCGCGAAAGCCCTGGGGAAACACTCCGGCTGCTGCTGCAGAAAGACACCCACCTGCTGCTTGCTGCTGCTGCTGCTGCTGCTGCAGCGCCTGCTGCTGTGGCTTCTGGGCAAGCGGGCGCCCGACCGAGCCGCGGCAGCAGCAGCTGAGGAGCGGCTGCAGCAGCAGCAGCAGCTGCAGCAGCTGCGCCCCCGGCCACCCCTGCCTGCCTCCTCACCTGCAGCAGCAGCAGCAGCAGCAGCAGCAGCAGCAGCAGTATGCCCGCGGGGAGCCGTCGCCCAGGCGTAACTCCCGCAGGGCGCCGGGGGGCCCCCAGGGGCCCCCAGGGGCCCTCCCGGGTGAGGGGCCCCTCCAGCAGCTGCTGCAGAGGTGCAGCAGCTGCTGCTGCAGTTGTGGGGCCCCCCGGAAGCAGGCGGGGGGCCCCCCCCTCTAAGGTGCAGCGAGTGGGGGAGCCGCAGCAGCAGCAGCAGCAGCAGCAGCAGCGCGGCCGCCGGGCGCGTGCTGCAGCAGCCGCTGCAGACGCAGTAGCAGCAGCTGCTGCCGTTGGCGGCGGCTCGCCGGAAAGGCAGCGAAGAAGAAGGAGGGAAGCAGCAGCAGAAGCAGAAACAAACGCAGCAGCAGCAGCAGCAGCAGCAGCAGCAGCTGCTGCTGCTGCTGCGCCGCAGCCATCCTATGCTGAAAGGCTGCAGCGGCGGCGGGGCCGTCGAGCAGCAGCAGCAGCAGCAGCTGCTGCTGCTGCTGCAACGGGAGGAGACGCGAGTCCCGGGAGCAGCGCCGCGGCCACAGCAGCAGCAGCAGAGGGCGACAGCAACACCAGCAGCAGCAGCAGCAGCAGCAGCAGCAGCAGCAGCAGCAGCCAGGCCTCAGGCCGCAGGGGGGCCCCTGCTGCTGCTCCTCTCCGCAGGGAAAGGAAGCTGAGAGGCGCAGAAGCTTTGCGGCAGAAGTTTGGCTGCTTCGCAGCAACAGAGCAGGAGCTGCAGGAGCTTTCTTGCGGTACGCGCAGCAGCAGCAGCAGCAGCAGCAGCAGCAGCAGCAGCAGCAGCAGCAGCAGCAGCAGCAGACGCGTGCAGGTGGATGCTGCTGGGGGCCGCTGGTGCTTGGGGTTGGGCTCAGGGGGTGCTGCTGCTGCTGGGCACTTTGTTCGCGCGTTTGCTGCTGCATAGCCGTGCTGCTGCTGATATTGCTCTCGCTGCTGCTGCTGCTGCTGCTGCTGCTGCTGCTGCTGCTGCTGCTGCTGCTGCAGGCTGCTGCCTGGACGGGCTGCTGCCGGGGGCCGACGCAGAAGAGCCAGTGGGGATGGCGCATAGCGAAGCGCCTGGCTCTGCAGCAGCAAACAGCTGCGGGCAGCAGCAGGGAAAAGGTGCTGCTGCTGCTGCTGCTGCTGCTGCAGCAGCAAAAGAGAGCCCCGGGAGCCCCACACCGCCCCCGCCCCTCGCACGTATAGACGCATGCAGCCACTGCTTCCATCTGCGCTGCATCCAGGTATGGCCAACCGCTGCTGCTGCTGCTGCTGCTGCTGCTGCTGCTGCTGCTGCTGCTGCAGGTGTTGCTGCGGCTGGTCTGAACAGCTGCTGCTGGCGTGCCCTTGCTGCAGCTGCTGCTGCAGCAGCTGCAGCCGAGCTTGCCACTGCCCAGCTTCCTTGCCTGCGCTCCTGCTGTTCAGTTTGCTTCCTCTCCAAGTGCCGCTGCTGCTGTGCTGCTGCTGCTGTTGCTGCTGCTGCTGCTGCTGCTGCTGCTGCTGCTGCGCAGGTGTGGGCGCAGCGGGAGACATCCTGCCCTCTCTGCAAGGCCGTTTTTTCTTACATTGCTGCTTACCACGGCGCCACAAGGGAGCTGCTCGATGTGGTGAGGCTTTTGCTGCTGCTGCTGCTGCTGCTGCTGCTGGCATTGCTGCTGCTGCTGCTGTTGCTGCTGGTGTTGCTGCCGCTGCTGCTGACGGTGCTGCCACTGCTAAGGCGTTGCTTGCGTGTGTTGGCTGTCTTTGCTTCTCTAATCGGCCTTTGAGCTGCTGATGTGCCTGCGGTTGCTGCTGTTGCTGCTGTTGCTGCTGCTGCTGTTGCTGCTGCTGCTGTTGCTGCTGCTGCTGTTGCTGCTGCTGCTGTTGCTGCTGCTGCTGCTGCAGCAAAAGTGCGCGCACGTGTTTCAGAAGGACTTGCCTTCTTCGTCGGAGTCGGTGGTGTCGATAGAGACAGTCAGCTCAGCTGACTCTTCTGCTTCCAGCTCGGAGCAGCAGCAGCAGCAGCAGCAGCAGCAGCAGCAGCAGCGGAGGAGCCACAGAGGCCGGCGTGGGGGAGGCTCGGCAGCAGCAAATGGAGAGGAAGCAACGCAGGGAATGGTAGGGGTAGGCAGGCCTACAGATTGCTGCTGCAGTTGCTGCTGCAGTTGCTGCTGCTGTTGCTGTAGGTGCTGCTGCTGTTGCTGCTGCTGTGCGTCAATAGGGTGTTTCTGCTTCTCAGCTGGCTGCAGCACGTTGCTGCCACCGCTGCAGTGCCTCGTGCTGCTGCTGCTGCTGCTGCTGCTGCTGCTGCAGCAACTGGTGCGTCGCGTGCTGGAGTCTTGGGGCCGCACAGTCTCGTCTTTGCGGCGCAGCAGCCGCACGGCGAGTTCCTCTCCTGCCGCTGCTGCTGCTGCAACAGCAGCAGCAGCAGCAGCAGCAGCAGGGGCTGCCGCCTCCGCCCCTGCAAGACAAAGAAGAAACCCTCAAGACAGAGACAATGACAACCCCAGAAGCAGCAGACGCCGCAGCCGTTCAGAAAGGGTGGGGCCCCCAGGGGCCCCGGGGGCCCCCAGGGGCCCCCCAGCAGCAGCAGCAGCAGCAGCAGCAGCAGCCCACAGGCGAAGCGCAGAGGCTGAGGGAGGCCTGCAGCAAAGCAGATACCATCGAGAGGATCGAGAGGGTGAGGAGCTGCTTCTATTTTAGTTTTAGTTGCTGCTGTTGCGTATTGTGCTGCTGCTTCTCCTGTCCATATGCGCCTAAGGCCTGCTGCTGCATTTATAATTATTAATTGGCATTAATAATTATAAATTATTAATGCAAATTATGCAAATTATAATTCAAATGGCATTTATTTATTTTTATGTTTAAAATGAATTCAAGTGTACATACAGATCTGCCAAAGGCAGTGAGCTGAGGTGTACGTACACCTGGTGCTGCAACACAAAAGTGTGCTGCAGTGATTAACTTGAGTCTGCTTTTTGGGTGCTTCCCGTGCTGCTGCAGCAGCTGCTGCAGCAGCTGTTGCACCAGCTGCTGCAACAAAACAAATGAACCCGGGAGCTGCTGCTGCTGCTGCTGCTGCTGCTGCTGCTGCTGCAGGTTGCGCGCCGCACGGCTTCTTTCTTCCAGCGTCGAATCGGGGCTCTTTACGAGACCCCGGGTCAGCAGGAGCAGCAGCAGCAGCAAAAGGCAGGAGCAGCAGCAGCAGCAGCAGCAGCAGCAGCAGGCAGCTCTCGCAGAAGAGGCATGACCCCTGTGGTGGTGCCCCTGGGTACTGTCAGCGGCATTGGGCTGGCAAGAGATCACAGGGGGGCCCCCAGGGGGGCCCCCGGGGGGCCCCCAGGGGGGCCCCCCAGTCCTGCCAGGGGGGGCCCCTCGTTTCAGCTGCGGCCAAGTTATGCTGCAGACTTTCTGCTGTGTCCAGGCAGCAGCAGCAGCGCAGCAGCAGCAGCAGCAGCAAGACCTGCTGCTGCAGCGAGGCAGGGAACCGCCTAGCTGCTTCACGCGCCGCACGCAGTGCTGCTGCGGCGCAGCAGCAACTTTAGCAGCAGCTGCGGCACCAGTTTCAGCAGCAGCAGCATCAGTGGCAGCAGCAGCAGCAGCTGCTGCTGCTGCTGCTGTTGCTGCTCGAATTCAGTTTTAAGGCACGGTGGAGTCGTTTGCGGTGTACAGACACCACGCAAGGCACTCTTCACAAGTCCAGCTAGCTAGATGGCTTGCCAGCTAGCTAGCTAGCTAGACAGCTATCTAGCTAGCCAGCTAGATAGTTAGGCAGTCTAGCTAGCTAGCTAGCTAGACAGCTATCTAGCTAGCCAGCTAGCCAGCTAGCTAGACAGCTATCTAGCTAGCCAGCTAGACAGCTAAGTAAGTAGCTAGCTAGCTAGGCAGCTAGCTGGATAATTGGTCAGCTGGTCAGCTAGCTAGCTAGTTAACCAACTAGCCAGCTAGTCGGCTAGCCATTTGGCTAGTTGGCCAGTTAGCTAGCTAGCCGGCTAGCTAGCTAGCTTCCTAGCTAGCTAGCTGGCTGGTTAGCTAGCCAGTGAGCTAGCTAGTTGACTAGATAGCCAGTTCGTCAGCTAGCCAGTTAGCTAGCTGGCTAGCCAGCGAACAGCCGTCGCCATGTAAACCGTCTACCGCATGTCAGACGTTTCACTTGACTGCTGCAGCAGCAGCTGCTGCTGCAGCGGCTGCTGCTGCTGCAGCAGCTGCTGCTGCTCAGTCGGCGGCTGGTGGCGCTGCTACTGCTGCTGCTGCAGTGCGAAGCGCTAGGGACAGTCCACGCAGCGTTCTGAGCAGAGTTGGGGCTGCACGTACTGAGTGCAGCAGCGGCAGCAGCAGCAGCAGCAGCAGCGGTAGCAGCAGGTGCAGCAGCAGGGGTAGCAGCAGGAGCAGCAGCAGTAGCAGCAGCAGCAGCAACGGGAAGACACCGCTAGAGCATAATCATGTAAACAACTTAAAGCGAGGCCAAATGCTGTCTAGATGGAAATTGCCAATCAATAAAACCGCCTAGCAGCAGCAGCAGCAGCAGCAGCAGCTGCTGCTGCAGCAGCAGCAGCAGCAGCTGCTGCTGCTGCTGCTGCTGCTGCTGCCCATGTGCATCTGCCTCTCGTCTATGTGCCCTCTGGAGTACAAAAAAAGGAACCTCTAAAGGGGGCCCCCAGGAACTGAATAGGGTCACTTGGGGGCCCCCGAGGGCAACAGCTAATAGAAGAGGCCCCTTGAATCTGCTGCAAGGGCCTTCAGGTGTGGAGCTGCAGCAGCAGCAGCTGCTGCTGCTATTGCTGTTGTTTCGTCGCCTTTGTTCGTTGCTGCTGCATGTTGGGGGAGCTGCTGCTGCATGCTGCTGCAGCATGGGCTGCTGCTGCGTGCTGCAGCAGCACGCGCTGCTGCTGCTGCTGCTGGGAAGCAGCAGCAGCAAACCCTGAGCTGAGAGGTGCTCTTGAAACCAGGAAAGGAGAAAAGCAGACACAAGCAAACGAGCTGCGGCATCGGGCCTGCTGCTACGGCTGCTGCTGCTGCTGCTGCGGCAGCAGCCGCTGCTACTCTGCTGCTGCTGCTGCGGCAGTCGCCACTGCTACTCTGCTGCTGCTGCGGCAGTCGCCACTGCTACTCTGCTGCTGCTGCTGCTGCTGCTACTCTGCTGCTGCTGTCGTTGAGGTTGCTTTGCTGCTGTTGGCGATGCTCGAAATGCTGCTGCACCGCAGCAGCAGCAGAGAAGGCAGCAAAGCCGACTGCAGCGGCGAGCTGCAGCAACACGCAGGGAAAGCAGCAAAAGAGAAAATAACAAGCAGCAAATAATGAACGAAAATAAAGAATTAATTTAATTAATATTCTTATTTATAAAATAATTAATTATTAATGAAGAGAAGGACACAACTCAAGAAGCTGCGTCGCACCTGGAGAGCTGCGCATACAGCCAAGCGCTGTGTGCAGCTGCAGAAGCAGCAGCAGCAGCAGATGCTGCTGCTGCAGCAGCGTTTGTGCTGCTGCTGCCGGTGCAGGCGGCTGCTGCTGTCTGCCCAGGCCCTGAGTGCTCTGCTGCTGCTGGGCCCGTCGCTGCAGCGCGTGCTGCTGCAGTCGTTGCTGCCGTCGCTGCTGCAGCCTGCTGCAGCTGCGTTGCTGCTGCTGTCGCTGCGCTGCAGCAGCGCAGCAGCAACTGCCCCGAGCCTCTGGCTCACGAAGAGACACAGCGGCAGCAAGCAGCAGAAGTAAGCAGCAGCAAACTTGTCTTGTGCTGCAGTCTGCCCCCAGAAGCCCCGCTGCAGCAGCTGCAGCGGCAGCAGCTGCTGCAGCCACGCAGGTGCAGCAGCAGCTGTACGTACACCCCAAGCCAGCAGCAGCGAGTCCTGCAGCTCCGGTGCTGCTAAGGCGGAGTCTGCCAGCAGGTGGGCCACAGTGCCATCTGCTGCAGCAATCTGAGCAGCAGCAGCAGCAGCAGCAGCAGCAGCAGCAAAACAAGAAAATGCCATTTACTGCATTCTAAATAACCCAAATAACTCGCAGCAACACACGCGCTGCAGCAGCAACGGCGGACGCTCAACGCCCATTTAAATTTAAATTTAAATTTAAATTTAAATTTAAATTTAAATTTAAAATAAAAATAAAATTAAAAATAAAATAAAATAGAAAAGAGAAATTGAGAGATGAAAGAAATGCCGAAGCAAAACAACAGCAACAAAAGACAGCGAAGTGCAGCAGCAGCAGCAAACGGAAAAGGAGTTTCTTTTTGCTGCTCTTTCCTCACTTCTTCATTTATTTCTTTTTTGTTTTTTATTTTAATTAAATTTTATTAATCATTTAAAAGCCAAAGAAGAAAGAAAAGACGCAAATGCAAACAAAGTTCAGGAAAAATATCCATGGCATTAATTTGAATTAAATAAATCCGAAATGGCACTAATTTGAATTAAATAAACGAAAAATGGCATTAATTTGAATTAAATATATCAGAAATGGCATTAATTTGAATTGAATAAATGAAAAATTGAATCAATTTGGACTAAATAAATGAAAAATGGCATTAATTTGAACTAAATAAATCAGAAATGGCACTAATTTGAATTAAATAAATGGAAAATGGCATTAATTTGGATCAAATAAATGAAAAATGGCATTAATTTGAATTAAATAAATGAAAAATAACATTATTTTGGATTAAATAAATGGAAAATGGCATTAATTTGGATGAAATAAATGAAAAATAACATTATTTTGGATTAAATAAATGGAAAATGGCATTAATTTGGATGAATTAAATGAAAAAAATGGCATTAATTTGGATTAAATAAATGGAAAATGGCATTAATTTGTACTAAATAAATCAGAAATGGCACTAATTTGAATTAAATAAATGAAAAATGGAATCAATTTGGATTAATTAAGTGAACAATGGCATTAATTTGGATTAAATAAATGGAAAATGGCATCTATTTGGATTAAATAAATGAAAAATGGCATTAATTTGGATTAAATAAATGGAAAATGGCATTAATTTGGATCAAATAAATGAAAAATAACATTATTTTGGATGAAATAAATGAAAAATAACATTATTTTGGATGAAATAAATGAAAAATGGCATTAATTTGGATGAAATAAATGAAAAATGGCATTAATTTGGATTAAATAAATGGAAAATGGCATTAATTGGAATTAAATTAATTCGGAAGCAAACCAAACTCACGAGGCTTTTGCCTTCCTCAGTTTTGGTGTGCAGCTGCAGCAGCCGCAGCACAGCAAAGCCGCTGCACAGCAGCAGCAGCAGCAGCAGCAGCAGCGGCTGCACGTAAGCCGCAGCAACGCAGCTCTGGCGGTACTCCCCCGCTGCCCACGCGGCCACGCAGGGCCCCCTTTGGCCCCGCGTGCTGCTGCTGCTGCTGCTGCTGCTGCTGCTGCTGCTGCGGCGGCGGCAGCAGCTGCTGCTGCTGGAGTGGTAGCTGCACCGCGGCTTCGCAGCAGCAACTGCAGCAGAGCCCTGCTCGAAGAAGAACAGCCCTAAAGTGAAAGGCACCAGCAGCAGCACCAAGTGGTAAGGAATGAGAGCAGCAGCAAGCAGCAGCACTGCAGCAGCAGCACGCGTTAGCTGGCAGCTGCTGCACCAGCTGCTGCCGCAAGTCTTTCCCAGGCGGCCCCGAGGCCTTGCTGCTGCTGCTGCTGCTGCTTCTTGCTTTGCTTCTGCTGCTGGCGTGCGGTCTGTGCATTCCGAGTCTGACACGCTTGCTGCTGCTGTTGCTGCAGTTGTTGGTGCCGTTCCTGCTGCTGCTGCTGTTGCTGCTGCTGCTGCTGCTGCACGAACTGCTGCTCGCGGGTGCGGGGCAGCCCTCCTCGAGCTTTCTGAGTTGCTGCTGAAGCTGCTGCTGCTGCGCGGAGGGTGCAGCAGCAAAGTGCAGCTGCCTCCCCTGGGGTTGCTGCTGCTGCTGAGAGCAACAGCAGCATCGGAATCTTCTGCAGCAGCAGCGCCACGTCCTGCTGCTGCTGCTGCTGCTGCTGCTGCTGCTGCTCGCGCTGGCGTGTCTGGAAGGGCGACAGCAGAAAGGTTGAGGACAGCAGACGCGGGCCGCAGCAGTGCATCTGGCTCTTCCTCGTCTGCTGCTGCTGCTTCTGCTGCTTCTGCTGCTGCTGCTGCTGCTGGTGCAGCAGCAACAACAGCAGCACGCCCGGGACGCAAAGACAGAGGCGCAAACCGCCGCCTCCGGGCATATTTGCTGCAGCGGCGCCACTCGCCGAAAAGGCGCAGCAAAGAGCCCGCAGCTCTTGCTGCAGCAGCAGCAGCAGCAGCAGCAGCTGCTGCTGCTCGTCGCCGCGGGCCCCTGAAGGGCAGCTTCAGGTGCTGCGCGCAGAGCAGCAGCAGCAAGAACACGCGCAGCACCAGCAGCAGCACGACAGAAGAGCTCAGCAGCAGCAGCAGCTGCAGCAGCAGCGGCAGCGGCAGCGGCACGAAGGCCGTGGGCGGAGTCGGCGAGAATATCAGGGGCCCCAGCAGCGGCAGCTGCTGCAGCTGCTGCTGCTGGCAGCAGCAGCAAAGCGCGCAGCTGAGACACAAGAACAGCAAATAGTATGCAAGGCCTCCGCGGCTGCCCCAGAAGACGCTGAAGGGATAAGACGAGGGCTGCTTCAGAGTGTCTGCTGCTGCTGCTGTTGCTGCTGCTGCTGCTGCACTCCACCGAGCGCCCAAGCGAGCAGCAGCGCGGCCCCAACGCCGCAGCAGCAGCAGCAGCAGCAGCAGCAGCTTCTCAAGGCGCTTCTCCCAGCCGCCCTCTGCTGTCCCGGCTCCGCTGCCCTCCTCCGGCGGCGGCTGCTGCTGCTGCTGCTCCTGCTGCTGCTGCTGCTGCTGCTGCTGCTGCTCCTGCTGCTGCTCCTGCTGCTGCTGCTGCTGCTGCTTCTGCTGCTGCCGGAACTTCAGCAGCAGAAAGAGGCAGGTCAGGCCAAACAGCAGCGCAGCACTGGCAGCAACTCCCCAAAAGAAAATTGTAAAATGAACAACAAAAAGAGAGCGGCAGAGAGCCAGAAAGTTCACCTTTGCTTCCACCACAAACTCGTAAGGCACTTCGCTGCTGCTGCTGCTGCTGCTGCTGCTGCTGCTGCTGCTGCTGCTGTAGGCGGCGGCGGGGACCTGCGGCTCGGGGTCCTGCAGCAGCAGCAGCGGCATGTGCGTCTGCTGCTGCTGCGCCAGCTGCCGCTCCGCCCGCAGCAGCGCCAGCTGCGCCTCGTGCAGCTGCTGCTGCACAGCCATTAGCGGCTCCGCAGCAGCAGCAGCAGCTCCTGCTGCTGCTGCTGCTGCTGCCGTCACCGCTGCTGCCACGCCGGCGGCTGAGGGCTCCGGCGGCGCCTTCCAGGCGCCCGCTGCAGACCCCGCCGGCGCGTCAGCAGCAGCAGCAGCAGCAGCAGCAGCAGCAGCAGCAGCAGGGCCTTGCATTGGCGGCAGCAAATGAGGCCGGAAGCGCCTCGAAGGAGTCCGCAGCGGCAGCCCTGGAGGCGGCAGCAGCAAACTGGAGGAAGCAGCAGCAGGAGGCCTCCGCAGCGCCATTATGCTGCTGGACCTTTCGCTGTCCCGGAGGCCGAACCAGCGGGCCATCCAGGACTGCTGCTGCTGCTGCTGCTGCTGCTGCTGCTGCTGCTGCTGCTTGAAAAGCGCCTCCGCCTGCACTTCCCCAGCAGCAAGCAGGCCCTGCAGCTGCGCCGAGCTGCTGGCGGGCACCCCCAGCAGCTGCCACAGCAGCTGCAGGCCGGAGGGGGCTTTCTCAGCAGCAGCAGCAGCAGCTGCGTCGGCAGCAGCAGCTGCTGCTGCTGCAGCTGCTGCTGCTGCTGCTGCCAGCGCTGGCCTCTTGTTGACTGCCACGCGGCTCAGGGCCACGCCCCCGTCAGACGTGGAGGGCCAGGCCAGCAGCCACACGAAGTCGGGAGCAGCAAACGTCGGAAGCCACCACGGATGCCCGCTGCTGCTGCTGCTGCTGCTGCTGCTGCTGCTGCTGCTGCTGCTGCTGCTGGGAGGCTGCTGCACGGGGCTGAGCTTCACGCTGATGTCGTAGGCCATGAAGTGGCCCCACTGCTCGCTGAAGGGCAGCCACAGCGGGCGGGGCACGCCGACTTTGCCGGTGTAGGCAGCAGCAGCAGCGCCGCTCTTCCTGCTGCTGCTGCTGCTGCTGCTGCTGCTGCTGCTGCTGCTGAGGCTGTGGGGCAGCAGCGGCAGCCGCGCCCGCAGCGGCCAAAACAGCGACAGCAAAACGCGCAGCGGCAGCGCCGCACTTCCCAGCCATTCGAGCCAGGCGCTGTCGAACTGCAGCAAGGGGCCTGCGAGGGGGTTCCGCACTGGCTGCAGCTGCTGCTGCTGCTGCTGCTGCTGCTGCTGCTGCTGCTGCTGTTGCTGCTGCTGCTCGGAAGCCGCTGCCCACGCAGCAAAGCCGTTGTCGTAAGACGGGATCTCGAGGGAACCCAAATAGCCAACATCCACGCCCAGGAGAAACGCCCGCGGCACCCACCTCCGCTGCTGCTGCTGCTGCTGCTGCTGCTGCTGCTGCTGCTGCTGCTGCTTTTGCTGCTGCTCTTGCTGCTGCTGAGACGCAGCAACAGAAGCCAAAACGGCGCCACCTCCGTTGAAGGTCCAGCCGCAGCTGTGCAGCGGATGGCCCGTCTGAATGTCTGGCTGCAGGGCGAAGAAGCAAAAGAGGCGGCCGCCCACTGTTGCTGCTGCTGCTGTTGCTGCTGCTGCTGTTGCTGCTGCTGCTGTCGCTGCAGCGCCTGCTTCCAGCTTCCGCAGCACCCGCTCCAGCAGCTCGGGGTTGCTGCACTCATCCAGCCCGAAGTCCGCAGCTGCTGGGCCTGAAGAAGCAGCAGGCTTCTGCGTCTGCTGCTGCTGCTGCTGCTGCTGCTGCAGCGCCAGCTGCGTCAGGTCTTCTGCTGCTGGGTGCTCCACGGCCAGCAGCAGCAGCCCTCGCGGGAGGAACTCGCTGCGCTTGCCAGCTGTCTGTGCCTGCGCAGCGGCAGCAGCAGCAGCAGCAGCAGCAGCAGCAGCAGCAGCAGCTGTGGCAGCCGCTTCTGCTTCGTCCCCGCTGCTGCTGCTGCTCAGCGCTGCAGCCTTCTCTCCGGCCACAGCAGCAATATGCTCCAGAAGTGCCGCGTGCAGGTGCATCTGCTTCAGCCTCTGGAGTTGCCGCTGCTGCTGCTGCTGCTGCTGCTGCTGCTGCTGCGCCAATGGCCGCAAATCACAAGGCCTCGTGTTGCGGCCGTCAAAGAAATCGCTGAAAAAGTTTCGACTGAAAGGAAGCCCCTGCGGCTGCAGCGTCACCAGCGGCAGGGGTGGTGGCCTGACCCGCTGCTGCTGCTGCTGCTGCTGCTGCTGCTGCGGCGTCGCATCTGCTGCTGCTGCTGCTGCTGATTCTGGCGGCGGCTGTGGACCTGTCTGCAGCAGCAGGGGCTGCAAGTCTATGGGATAGAGCGTAAACGGCCCCCAAGACTTGCTGCTGCCCTCATTCAGAGCTTCCTCTATGCAGCTGTCGTTTGCTTCGCTGCTGCTGCTGCTGCTGCTGCTGCTGCTGCTGCTGCTGCTGCTGCATGCTGAGGCTCGCAAGGCCTCGTGCAGCAAACGCTGCGTCTCCAGCGGCAGCGGCAGCAAACGGTCGGGGGAGACCGGCAGCATAGCGAGCAGCTTGGCCCGAACGAGGGAGCTTGGGAGGTGCTGCTGCTGCTGCTGCTGCTGCTGCTGCTGCTGCATGTGGGCCTCTGTTGCTGCTGCTTCTACTGTGTCTTCGTCGGTCACTAGGCCGTACCTCAGCCGCAGCACGTGCTGCTGCAGCAGCGGGAGCGCCAGGGGGGCCCGCTGCTGCTGCAGCAGCAGATCTGCTGCTGCTTCCCAGCAGAGTGCAACCTCGTCCTCTTCCTCAGCAGCAACAGCAGCAGCGGGCGCAGCAGCAGCAGCAGCAGTAGCTGCTGCTGCTGCTGCTCCCTTGTGCGCCTGGAACTGTATTTCCAGCATCCCCCTTTGGAAGCAGCAAACTTCCCGTTTGCTGCAGCTGCTGCAGCTGCCCAGCCGCGTCAGGGCCTCTAGGGCCTCCCGGGGGGCCCCCCTGCGTCTGTGGGGGCCCCCGCGGCGCCCCCCTGCTGCTGCTGCTGCTGCTGCTGCTACTACTGCTTGGAAGGGGGACAGCAGCCGCTGCTGCACCTCCGAGTCCACTGCAGCAGCAACTAAGGCCAGCGCTTGCTGCTGCTCCGTCAGCTGCCACGCGGGGTGCAGCAGCAGCAAACTGGACTCTACTATGGGGCGGACCCGCAGCCGCAGGAACTGCAGCACAGCAGCACCAGAGGCCAGCGCGGCCTCCACTGCGTGCAGCTGCTGCTGCAGCTGCTGCTGCTGCTGCTGCAGCTGCTGCTGCTGCTGCTGCAGCGCGGCCTGCTGCTGCTGCGGCTCCTGCTGCAGCTCCTGCTGCTGCTGCTGCGGCTCCTGCTGCTGCTGCTGCTGCTGCTGCGGCTGCTGCTGCTGCTGCACAAAGGCCCGCAGCTGCGCAGCAGCAGGCTGCAGCTGCTGCGCCAAAGTGGCCTGCGCATGCAGCAGCTGCACCAGCAGCTTTATTTCCGGCGGAGACAAAAGAGGACATTCGTGGCAAGAAGGTGTATGTACACCTGAAGCCAGCGGCAGCGAAACCCGCTGGTAAAAAACTGCTGGCGACAGCAGCCCGCAGCGCAGCAAGCCAGTCGGCCCCGCGCACTCCGCGCTGCTGCTGCTGCTGCTGCTGCTGCTGCTGCTGCTGGTGGGGGTGCTGCTGGTGCTGCTGCTGGGGGTGTCGCTGCTGCTGGTCGAGGCGGCGGGGGGGCTGCGTGCAGTGTTGTGGAGCTGGCGGCGGCGCGCGCGGTGCTGCTGCAGCAGCTGCAGCTGCTGCTGCAGCTGCTGCTGCTGCTGCTGCAGCTGCTGCTGCTGCTGCTGCAGCCGGGCCCTGGCCCTGCGGAGCTTGGAGCGGCCCCACAAAAAGTGTGGGGCCAGCTCAGGTGTATCGACAGGAAAGCTCGCGACAGACTCGTGGACGAGAATGTCGTGGACTCCAGAGGAGAAGCTGAAGAGCCCCACAGTGCGCGGCAGCAGCAGCGCCCGCTGCTGCTGCTGCTGCTGCTGCTGCTGCTGCTGCTGCTGCGGGGGGGCGAGGCCCAGGGCCGCGGGAAAGTCTGCATGCACCTGCCCGTACATGAACTGGAAACTCGGCAGCTGCTGCAGCAGCTGGTGGCCACTTAAGGGAGAATTAATAAAGAAAAGAGACAGCAGCGGGAGGGCCCCCAAGTCCACTTGGGGGGGGCCCCCCCGCCGCTGCTGCTGCTGCAGCGACACAGCCCGCAGCACGGAGAGGCCCCCCAAGGAGTGCGCCACCACGGCCAAGTGGCATATTTGCTGCCCAGCAGCAGCATACAGCTGCAGCAGCTGCTGCAGACTCCGCAGGATAAACTCCGCCTGCAGCAGCAGCAGCAGCAGCAGCAGCAGCAGCAGCAGCGGGGCGCTTGCAGCAAGAGCAGTAACCGCGTCATCAGCGGCGGTTCAAGCGCACGGACACGCAGCAGCAGCAGCAGCAGCAGCAAAGGAGGAACCCGCAGCAGCAAGACCCACGCAGCAGCAGCAGAACCAGCAGCAGAAGGACAGTCTGCAGCAGCAGCAGCAGCAGCAGGGTCTGCAGCAGCAGCGCGACAGCTGCACGCTCGACACCGTCGCAGCTGCAGCACCACCAGCAACCGCAGCAGCAGCAGCACCAGCAGCAGCAGCAGAACTGCAGCAGCAGCAGCAGCAGCACTCCAGCAGCAGCACTGCAGCAGCAGCAGCAGCACTGCAGCAGCAGCAGCAGCAGCAGCAGCAGCAGCACCTGCTGGTCGACGAGGAGGGGGTGGAGTGCCGTGGCTTCCTCGTTGAAGTCAACAGCAAAACTGTGCCAGCGGAGAGGCCCCTGTGTCTGCGGCAGCAGCTGCTGCGGCAGCGGAGCAGCAGCAGCAGGCTGTCTGTACAGTTTGCTGCCGCCCCACAAGCCGCTAATTGCTGCTGCTTCTGCCAAGGGGAAAAAGGAAGTCCAAGAGCCCCGGTGGCCGTGCACAAACAGCAGCAGATGCACGTCGCAGCTTCCTGCTGCTGCTGCTGCTGCTGCTGCTGCTGCTGCTGCTGCTGCTGCTGCTGGGGGGGAGGAGGAGGGGGAGCCCGGCGCTGCTGCAGCGCCTGCTGCTGCTGCTGCTGCTGCTGCTGCTGCTGCTGCA